GCAAAAGGGGAATGGAGGAAAGCAACTACATGGAGGTGCCAACATGGTAGCTGATCCTGCTTAAGAAACCTCCAAGGATGACGAAGGAATGGGACATGAGGAGAGGGACGCTGGACAGTTCTACCATGTGTGTGACTAAAATGACTGTGGCACAGCAGTTGCAAGGACTGGAGAGGAACTGCACCCGCTTGACATGTGGGTCATAATCTCTGGTGCTGCATGGACAAGGACACCATGCAAGGACTTTCTGGATAATGTCCGAGCGCTTCCAATCTCCGAAGTGCGTTCAGCATCTGGACATGCTGTGAAGGTCGCTGGAGTTGGTCGAGCTGCGTTAAGAGCACCCGATGGAGGACTGGTTGTGCTGAAGGATGTGTTACTCATACCGGGGTTGAAGGCCAATCTGATATCGCTGCGCAAGCTAGGCCAGGCTGGATTCAGCACCACCACTAATGGATCCAATACATTCAAGGGGCTGCGAGTAGATCGTGTGTTATGGGATTTATACGAAAGCAGAGATGTCTTCAGATCCATGTGGCACATCCCTGCACTGATATGGGAATCAACAAAGAAGGAGATGGGAGCAATAAAGACGGGATCTGGAGTCCAGGGGGAGTGCAATGCAGTTAGTGCTGCAGGAGTGACAGTTTCTGCAAGGTCGGGGGAGACTGATTGGGAAACCGCACACAGACGTCTAGGGCATGTGGCTATGCCGCTGCTGCAGCAAGTGCATAAGGAAGAAGCAGTGCAGCAGCTGAAGCTTTCTGGGCAACCAAATGATACCAACTGCGAGACGTGTCTGCTGAGCAAGTTCACACGGTTCCCCTTTCACGGTGTAGCTGGGAAAAGCAAGAAAGCACTAGAACTGGTGCACATGGACCTGGTAGGACCTTTTCCAGTTCGAGGAAGTAAGGGGGAAAGGTACTTCCTGACAATAGTTGATGACTGGAGTCGGCTGATGTGGGCATACCCCTTGAAGCAGAAGGATCATGCTGCCTCAACAATACGAGATGACTGGCTGCCGTTCGTCGAGCAACAATCTGGGCACCCATGCAAGAGCATCAGAACCGACCAAGGTGGAGAGTTTCTAGGAGGAGATCTGACTGCGTGGCTCAAGCAACAAGGCATTGAGCATCAGCTAACGACGTCCTATACCCCTCAGTCAAATGGCGTTGCCGAGAGGGCTAATAGGACCATCCTGGAAACTGCGCAAGCGCTGCTGATCGAATCAGGGCTGGGGAACTCCATGTGGCATCATGCGGTAAGTCATGCTACAGTGGCAAGGAACCGCGTACTCACAAAGGTGGCTGATGATATGTGGGTGCCGTTGGAGAGGTGGCTTGTGTTGGTGCATATTCATTTGCACGTCATCCTGTCGTCTGTTCGCATCATTTCGTTTGCATGTGTTTTGTGTGCTACGTTGTTTGTATGGTTTGTTGGGTTTGCATGTCTTTGTATGTTCATCTTGTGCTTGTGCAGATGTGCTAGGATTGTGCATGACATCGAGCACATTCCAACGAGCCAAGAATTGTTGGAATCGGAGCACATATGAAGAAGTTACGAAGAAATGTTTGATGGATTTGTTACAACTCGTTGGAAGTCCTTGTCAGCTGCTACACCAAAGTTGGAGAGCCCTATAACGAGGAGGGACCAGCATGTGTGGGACTTTTGTCCCCACCTTGCAGCTGCAGCATTTGGGGTTTGGAGGCCAACCTGGCACAGTGTGAATTTTGTCTTGCCAGGCTGGCTGAACCTGAGGATGGGGAGTCAAAACTTTGACTCTTGTCATGTTCTTGACCATGGGCCTCCAGGGTCCTTCCCTTTCATCCTTCCCTTCCTACCCCACCTTCCAACTGTGCTTCAATGCCTTTCTATCATGCCTCTGATCTTGTAAGCTTCAATCATAGTGACTCTGAGGACTGTCAACTTCTCCTAGGGCAGATTACCCCCCAGTGCGCCAAACGCCATAGCTCACTCGTTAAGCTACGGAATCGAGTGATTCAACTTTCAGTGGAAAGCTGACGCTGCTAGCTACAACATATCTGATTTCAGATCGTTTCACCGATTGGAGTTTTGGATATAGCTATTCGAAGGTCGCGAGTTTTCTGGGCGTCATAACGAAGTGCTGCAGAAATTTCCAAGGAGCCATTGAATCATCTGCTTATAGCCTTCTCTAACCAACAAGTGGTATCAGAGCCTATTATCACGCATTTGGGACCTAAAATACGATGGGAGATAAGGAGGACTCTGGTGGAGGTGATACTTCAGTCCAAGGAGGCAGCTCAACCCAAGATTCTGGCATTGCAGCGCAAAGGGGAGCGCGTACAAGCCAGGGGTCACTGCTTAAGGAGGTGCTGAAGAACTTCACCATTGAGAAGTTCACTGGAGATGGCTATGATGATTGGGCATGGAAGATGCAGCTCTACTTTCGACAAATTGGCCTCTTGAAGCTCATGATTGGAACGGAGCCAAGGCCAAAGGAAATGGCAGAGCAAGCGGACTGGGATGAACGTTCATCTGCTGGGTATTATCTACTGTCACAAAGCTTGGAGCTGAACCAGAGGCATCACATCATGCATCTGCTACCGGAAATTGATTGTGGGCCCAAGGCATGGGCAGTGCTCAAGGACCTGCACGCTCCGACATCGGTTGCCGCTTCTCTCATGCTGGATCGGGAGCTGTCCATGCTGCGGTTGAGCGAGAATGAACCTGTGCAGCCCGTACTGGACAAGATGAGGGAACTCTACGCGAAATTGGCGATTGCAGGCATCACGTACCCAGAGCAGACAAAGTGTCTCAAGATGCTCAGCCTGCTGCCGGAGTCTTGGCTGCAATTTATAAGCGGACTCAGCTTGCCACAAAACCAAAGTCAATGGACATTGGAGTGGATTCGCACCAAGATTCTGGAAGAAGATTTTCGTCGCTATACACTGCGCGGAGGTGATGACAGCACCAGCGGCTATGCCATGCAAGGGACATGGAGGGATCGAGGGCGTGGCAATCGCGGTCGCTCTTACCACAGCCAAGGTGGTCGCGGGACTTGGAACCAGCGGGGGCGTGCTGGCGCTGGTGCAAGAGGAAGAGCTGGTCACTCCAACAATGACAACAGTGAACCACGCTTGAGGGGAGAGTGCTGGTATTGCAAGGAAGAAGGGCATCCATGGTTTCGCTGCCCTACCAAGCCCGACTGGTGGACCCCTTGGAACCAATCGCAGAAGGGGAATGGAGGAAAGCAACCACATGGAGGTGCCAACATGGTAGCTGATCCTGCTGAAGAAACCTCCAAGGATGACAGAGGAATGGGAAATGAGGAGAGGAATGCTGGACAGTTCTACCATGTGTGTGACAAAGATGATGACAGTGGCACAGCTGTTGCAAGGGCTGGAGAGGAATTGCACCCGCTTGACATGTGGGTCATGGACTCTGGTGCTGCATGGACAATGACACCACGCAAGGACTTGCTGGATGCTGTGCGAGCGCCTCCAATCTCTGAAGTGCGCTCAGCATCCGGACATGCAGTGAAGGTCGCTGGAGTTGGTCGAGCTGCATTCAGAGCACCTGATGGTGGACTGGTTGTGCTGAAGGACGTGTTACTCGTACCGGGGCTGAAGGCCAATCTGATATCGCTGCGCAAGCTAGGCCAGGCCGGAGTCAGCACCACCACCAATGGATCCAAAACATTCAAGGGGCTGCGAGGAGATCGTGTGTTATGGGATTTACACGAAAGCAGAGATGTCTTCAGATCCATGTAGCAGATCCCTGCACTGATATGGGAATCAACAAAGAAGGAGATGGGAGAAGTAAAGGCGGGTTCTGGAGTCCAGGGGGATTGTAATGCAGTTAGTGCTGCAGGAGTGACGGTTTCTGCAAGGTCGGGGGAGACTGATTGGGAAACCGCACACAGGCGTCTAGGGCATGTGGCTATGCCATTGCTGCAGCAACTGCATAAGGAAGAAGCAGTAAAGGGGCTCAAGCTCTCTGGGCAACCAAATGATACCAAGTGCGAGACGTGTCTGCTGAGCAAGTTCACACGGTTCCCCTTTCACGGCGTAGCTGGGAAAAGCAAGGCAGCACTGGAACTGGTGCACATGGACCTGGTAGGACCTTTTCCAGTCCGAGGAAGTAAGGGGGAAAGGTACTTCCTGACAATAGTTGATGACTGGAGTCGGCTGATGTGGGCATACCCGTTGAAGCAGAAGGATCATGCTGCCTCAACAATACGAGATGATTGGCTGCCGTTCGTCGAGCGACAATCTGGGCACCCATGCAAGAGCATCAGAACCGACCGAGGTGGAGAGTTTCTAGGAGGAGATCTGACTGCGTGGCTCAAGAAACAAGGCCTTGAGCATCAGCTAACGACGTCCTATACCCCTCAGTCAAATGGCGTTGCCGAGAGGGCTAATAGGACCATCCTGGAAACTGCGCGAGCGCTGCTGATCGAATCAGGGCTGGGGAACTCCATGTGGCCTCATGCGGTGAGGCATGCTACAGTGGCAAGGAACCGCGTACTCACAAAGGTGGCTGATGATATGTGGGTGCCGCTGGAGAGGTGGCTTGGAAAGAAGCCTCCAGTGGACATGCTTCGAGTGTTCGGATGCATGGCAGTGGCGCATGTCCCTAAACCATACAGGACAAAGCTTGGAGCATCTGCACTTTGGTGTGTGCACCTTGGGCTTGCGGCAGAGAGCAAGGGGTGGCTACTCTGGGAGCCCTCAAAGAATGTGCTGTTTGACAGTCGGGATGTCAAATTTGTGGAGAACATCATGTATGGCAAGTGGGAGAAGCAGCCGGAGGCAAGGGTCACCCAGCAGCTGGAAGAGATCACTATGCACTTCGATCTGTCCGAACCTGCGGACAGCGAAGTCACTGCGCCAACGGCAAGCGGTACTGATGAAGGAAGCAATGAGGATATTGCAGCTGATGCTGAAGTCAATGATCCGGAGCAGCAGCAGCAAGAGGCTTCCAAAACACCAAGTCTGCCAAAGCGAAGGAAACAGATTGGTGGGGGGACAAAGGATTGGGTGAAGGTGAAAGAATGGGTAAATCCAACCATCTACCCTGCACGTACCAGAATGGCAACGAGAAAGCTGTTGAGCTCCACAAGTGGAGGAGCCACAACTGAGCAGCAGGAACAGGCTCAAGGCGAAGATGCAGTGCTGTTCTTGGGTGATGACCAAGAGTCAGATGACGAGGAGCCTGCATACTGCTTTTACGCACCAATACAACCTCCGAGCATGGATCATGCGCTAGCCGGGCCTCAACGGGGAAGTGGCTCGTTTCAAGAGATGCAGAGTACAACAGCCAGATGGAGAATCACACATGGGACCTGGTGTACTTGCCAAATGGGAAGAAGGCAATACAGTGCAAATGGCTGGCAAAAATCAAGACGGATGAGAAAGGAGAGCCATCAGTTTACAAGAGCAGGCTGGTGGCAAAGGGGTTTCAGCAGAAAGAGAAGGAAGATTACAAAGAAGTGTTTGCCCCAACTGCTAAGTCTCCAACGCTACGTGTGCTGCTGGCGGTAGCTGCTGTGCGCAAATGGAAGGTGAAGCAGATGGACATCGTAACCGCTTTTCTGTACGGCATTGTGGAAGAGGAGGTGTACATGGTTCAACCACCTGGCTATGAGGATGGAACCGGTCGTGTCTGCAAACTTAACAAGGCCATCTATGGCTTGAACCAGGCCCCGAGATGCTCGTACAACAGGCTGGCCAGTGCACTGGAAGGGATTGGATTCCGTGCGAGTGCATGCGACGAGAGCCTGTTCCTGATGGGAGAGGGGGAATCACTTGTGCTTCTGCTGGTGTACGTGGATGACATCCTGCTCTTCAGCAGCAGTGACAAGGAGATCGATGGGGTGCAGCGGAAGCTCACAGAGCAGTTCAAGTGCAAGTCACTTGGAGAGGCAAGGTACTACCTGGGAATGCATATTGAGCGGGATACTGAACGTGGCTGGCTCAAACTGCATCAGGGACAGTACATCAACACCTTGGCTGAGAAGTACTCTCTGCAGGAAGAACGGGAAGTGGTCACACCTTTGCCTTCCGAGTTCAAACTCATAAAGGCAGCTGAAGGAGAAGGAGTTGAGAGTGAAGACCAGAGGCAATTCCAATCCATGGCCGGGAGCCTACTCTACGCTGCTGTGCATACTCGGCCTGACATCAGCTTTGCTGTGGGACAGCTGGCTCGAGTAGTGCAAAATCCAACAGAAGAGCAGTGTGGTGCAGCGGAGAGAGTGGTGCGCTACCTCAAGTCATACCCTACAGTGGGAGTACAGTATTCAGCCTCTGCTCAACTCAGGCAAAAAGGAGTTGAAGTCCTTCAAGAGAAGGGGGAGCAGCTCGGAGAAGGAAAGGTGTTCCTTTCCTGTTTTGCTGATGCCACGTGGGCTTCTGAGCATGAGGATTCATCATCAGTTGGTGGATACATCTGCATGGTGGGAGGTGGGCCTGTAAGTTGGAGGTCCAAGAAGCAGTCTGAGACGGCACTATCTTCAGTGGAATCTGAGTACATGGCGATGTTTCATGCGGCAAAAGAAATCATCTGGCTAAGGAGGCTCTTGAAGGAGATCGGCCATGAACAGACTTGTGCGACACCTCTGTTCAGTGATAGCAAGGGAGCCATTGCCATGGCACGCAATGTAGTTCTTCATGGGTTGAACAAGCACATGAGGATCAAGTGGCATTGGCTGCGGAAGGAGGTGAAGCTTGGGACACTGGATCCGATCTACGTGAAAACTCAGCAACAGCCAGCCGACTTCCTTACCAAGCGGCTAGCTGAAGAGCCACACTGGCGCTGTGCGAGGATGGCGGGAATGTCCTTGAACTAGAGACGGCGAAACAAGCCGACAGTCTGAGGGGGAGTGTGTTGGTGCATATTCATTTGCACGTCATCCTGTCGTCTGTTCGCATCATTTCGTTTGCATGTGTTTTGTGTGCTACGTTGTTTGTATGGTTTGTTGGGTTTGCATGTCTTTGTATGTTCATCTTGTGCTTGTGCAGATGTGCTAGGATTGTGCATGACATCGAGCACATTCCAACGAGCCAAGAATTGTTGGAATCGGAGCACATATGAAGAAGTTACGAAGAAATGTTTGATGGATTTGTTACAACTCGTTGGAAGTCCTTGTCAGCTGCTACACCAAAGTTGGAGAGCCCTATAACGAGGAGGGACCAGCATGTGTGGGACTTTTGTCCCCACCTTGCAGCTGCAGCATTTGGGGTTTGGAGGCCAACCTGGCACAGTGTGAATTTTGTCTTGCCAGGCTGGCTGAACCTGAGGATGGGGAGTCAAAACTTTGACTCTTGTCATGTTCTTGACCATGGGCCTCCAGGGTCCTTCCCTTTCATCCTTCCCTTCCTACCCCACCTTCCAACTGTGCTTCAATGCCTTTCTATCATGCCTCTGATCTTGTAAGCTTCAATCATAGTGACTCTGAGGACTGTCAACTTCTCCTAGGGCAGATTACCCCCCAGTGCGCCAAACGCCATAGCTCACTCGTTAAGCTACGGAATCGAGTGATTCAACTTTCATTGGAAAGCTGACGTTGCCAGCTACAACATATCCGATTTTCAGATCGTTTCACCGATTGGAGTTTTGGATATAGCTATTCGAAGGTCGCGAGTTTTCTGGGCGTCATAACGAAGTGCTGCAGAAATTTCCAAGGAGCCATTGAATCATCTGCTTATAGCCTTCTCTAACCAACAGCTTGGAAAGAAGCCACTAGTGGACATGCTTAGAGTGTTTGGATGCATGGCAGTGGCGCATGTCCCTAAACCGTACAGGACAAAGCTTGGAGCATCTGCACTGTGGTGTGTGCACCTTGGGCTTGCGGCAGAGATCAAGGGGTGGCTTCTCTGGGAGCCCTCGAAAAATGTGCTGTTTGACAGTCGGGATGTCAAATTTGTGGAGAACATCATGTACGGCAAGAAGGAGAAGCAGCCCGAGGCAAGGTTCACTCAGCAGCTGGAAGAAATCACTATGCATTTCGATTTGTCCGAACCTGATGACAGCGAAGTCACTGCGCCAACGGCAAGCAGTAGCGATGAAGGAAGCAATGAGGATATTGCAGCTGATGCTGAAATCAAGGATCCGGAGCAGCTGCAGCAAGAGGCTTCCAAAGCACCAAGTCTGCCAAAGCGAAGGAAACAGACTGGTTGGGGAACAAAGGATTGGATGAAGGTGAAAGAATGGGTAAATCCGACCATCTACCCTGCACGTACCAGAATGGCAACGAGAAAGCTGCTGAGCCCTTTAATCCTTCCCTTCCTACCCCACTTTCCAAAACTGTGCTTCAATGTTTTCCATCATGCCGTGAAACTTGTAACGTTCAATGATAGTGACTCTGAGGACTGTCAATTTCTCCTAAGGCAGATTACCCCCCAATGCGCCAAATGTCATAGCTCACTCAGTAGAATACGTTATCAAGTGATTGAACTTCCATTGGAAAGCTGATGCTGCATGAAAAAAATATATCTAATTTTCACAGTGTTTCATCAATTCAATCTTCGGATATAGCTTTTCGAAGGTCTCGAGTTTTCTGGGCGCCATAACGAAGTGGTGCAGAAATTTCTAAGGAGCTATAAAATCTTCTGCTCATAGCCTTCTCCAACCAACAAATCCGTGCAGGCTGCTGTGGCTGCCCCTGCTGATGTGCGCCGTAACATGTTGTTCCCTGGCACAGCCATGATTAATGAAACGATTTCGCAGTGTCCCGGCTCACAAAGCACCCCAGCCACAATAGAGTTCACCCTCGACAGTGGGGCCACTCACACAGTTCTCAAGGTTGAACACTTCTTCAAGCCATACGAGACACCAATCTGTCTACTAGGAACAGACTCCAGTTTCACAACACACGTCAAGGGCTCCTCCACAGTTCCGTGCCCAGCTTTCCCTTCGGGCAGTTTCACCGGCATGTGTGTTCCCATACTACGCCACAATCTCGTGGCCCAACACGAGTTCCAACGGACAGGCGTCACCACGATCTTCCCAGCACACTCGGATTACAGTGACCTCCTCGACCCTAAGTCCAACAAGCTCCTAGCACGCTTCACACTCAACAGCAGCAAGCTCTACACGCTGCGTTCACCTGCACCTCTCGCCGCCCTCTCCCAAGCGCAAGCTGCCAACACCACTCCGTGTTCCTGTCGCAGATTTGCCAACCCAACCATCCTCTACCACCATCGCTTGGGTCACCCCAACTTCCGTACGCTTGCCGACATCGCTTCCAAGAAACTTCTTCTTGGCCTCCCGTCGGCGCTTCCTCCACCAACAGACTCACCTGCACCCTCCTGCCTAGACTGCACCAAGAGCAACCTCAGGGAGCAGCCGCACCCTTGGGATAACGCGATCATCGCCCAATCGAATTGGGCAGCATGGTCCCTCAATAAGAACACCATACTGGTCCACCCATTTCTCGTCAATAAGTGAGGCCGTTGCCCCAGTATCGACAAGATTCTTGGCAATCTTTCCATTGATGCGACCGGCAAACAACAAATTTTGTTGGTGCTTGGGTCGGATCGGGCAAGCCACAACATTTGTTGGAGGCAAATAATATGCCCGGACCTTGTGCTTGCTGCGTCCGTATGCATGGGCGTTTGACCACCATACATGGTGTCCTTTTTGCCATTTGGCAATAACAGTCCATCCTTTAAGCATGTGAAAACTACTGGCATTTGGAGGACGAGTCACCAATCCAACTGCATTTAGAGGGTGCTCCTGGGTGCAATGACCCACAACTTCCATAATCGAAGGCAGTGATTCCAAATTGCAACAAATAACTGAGAAGCTATCTCTTAAAGCTTCAGTTGTTACTTCCTTTAGTGGGTGCGATCGAGAGGCAAACAAAGAAGATTCACTCAAAGAAGGTGCAAACACACAAGAAATCTTGCCGCTAGCAAGTTTCTCAAGCTTTAGCAAATCCTCATCACGCAAGGCAATAGTTTCACCCCCTCGATCTACCAAACCAGCTAGGTACCCACACCCTAGTTGGTCTTCTGAAAACCCTGGCGCTGGCCGGAAGGGCCGGCCTCGTTAGTCTTGAGACCACCCTTCCCCTTGGTAGCACCCTTTCCTGCCTCATTCTGAGGGCAAACATTTGCGAAGTGGCCAGGCTCGCCACAACCAAAGCAACGCTTAGGTCCTTCCCCCTTGCCAGCGGGACCCTTAGGGCCCCCACCATTGGGCTTCTTGAAGTGGTGCCCATTCTGATTTCCCTGCTGGGGGTAGGGCCTCTTGTTCTTGCCATTATTCCACCTCTGGGCCTGCTGCCTTCCCCCTGAGCCGCCAGGCCCAGGAGGAGGCCTGCACGCCTCCGGGGGCTGGTTAACCTTTGCGTAAGCGCGAAAATGCACATCCGTGTTTGCAGCAGCTTTCTTCAACTCCTCATAGCTCTGCCACTGCTCGCCCTTGCCATCCATCATGTGCAAGCTCTGGATGTGCGCCGGCAAGCCCTTAAAGAACAAGAAGACCTACTCACTCTCAGTGAGCTGATCATCCATCTTCAACAGCAGTATGGTTTCCTCGAACTCATTCGCATACAGCTGCACGGGGCGGTTTCCGCACCTGAGCGCCTCAAGGCAACCGCACACCTCCAGGAGCGCTGGCTGCACCTGGAAGGCCTGCCTGAGGGCAGCAGCAAATTCAGCTCAGCCAAAAGGCTCGCCATTTGCCAACGCCTGCCTCTTGCGGCCATACGCCAATTTGCGTGCCGTCTCATCCAAAGCAGTGGTTGCGGCAACGACGCGAGCTTCGTCACGCACGTTATGAACAAACAAGAACTCATCCGCCATGGTAAGCCATGCTTCCACATCCATTTTTCCATGGATAAACTGGGGCAGGGTCATAGGGAACGTGCCAAGCGCCGACGAGGGCTGCCCATTAGTAGCAACAGCCGCAGGCGCCTCCGAAGGGCGTTCCTGCTCGGAACTAGCACCAGCAGATGCCTCAGCTGCCTGTGCAGGGTGGTACATGGTACCCCTCCTCAGCTGCTTGATGAGGTTCTGCATCTCAGCAATAGCAGCTGAGTGCTTAGCCAACTTCTTGATATTGTCCCGAGCATCGTGACGTGCCAGGTTCAGATCCGCCATCAGGTTGTGGATCTTGCTGTCTTGCGTTGACAGCTTGCTCCTCAGCTGGTCAATAAGGACCTGTTGCTGGATCAAGGTGATATTCTGGTTGGAGAGGTGAGCCTGCATCTGTTTGACTTCCTCAGACAGCAACTCCTCCTCTCCCCCCAGGTCCAAGTCTTCCTCCTCTTCAGGAGAAGAAACAGAAGCACCATTACTCTCCTTAACAGGAGCAGATTGGTCAGCCATCACCTCATCAGCATTAAGATCAATGCCAGCAGCAGCATTCTCCACCTCATCAAGGTTAACAGCATCACCACTAGTGGCATTGTTGGTAGAAGCCATTGCTGAAGAGCAAAGAGAATAATGCCCACGTACAAAGGGGAGATGAACAGATCTATAATCACCACTGTGATAAGCCAATAAATTCTTAACAAGTTAAGAAATTTCTACAATAGATCTGAAGATGACAAATGTCAATCTCCCAAGAGGAACAGATCTGTTGAAAATGCTTTTACCACCACTTTGGATAAAGCCAATCAATCACAAATTCCCCAACTGGAAATTGTGAACGATTTTCAACTATCTCTTTCACCCAAAAGGTGAGAAACAGCAAGATCTTTCCAGATCTGCCACACAACCGTTATTCCCTCTGGAATAAGGTTAAGTCTCAACGAGACTTCACTTGATGCTTGAAGGCTTGAACACTTCAACCGTGAAACTTCAGTCAAGTAGTCCTAAAGAGTCACCAGCAACGCTGGCACAAGCTACCAGAAGCTACACAAGCACCAAGTCTAGAAAAAACAAAAATTGCCCACAAGGACAAGATTAAACTAGCTCTGAAACCAATTATAACATCCACCGGTTTATAGCAACACCGGTTTATAAATAGCGGAATACAACGAAATAGTACCCCTAATTAGAACTAGGAGTAAGCTTGAACTTCAAGGAGAACTTGAAAATGGCAAGGAAATAGCCAAGATTTGGCTAAGTCCTTTGTGGTAGAGATAGCAATTGGAGGACTTAGAGAGGAGGATGATCCTTCTTCCAATATTGAGTTATTGGGGAAGGAAAGTGAAGAATGAGCTCCAAGAGCCCTCCCACTTCCTAGACCCCTTGGGGTGCAACCACCTCCTCCATGGCCAAGGGGGTGGTGCACCAATTGTGGGTCTTGCCCATGTGGCATGGGTTGGGTTTTCCCAACCAAGGAATTTGTAGTGAGCTGGAATCAGTTTGCTGAGGTGTGCAAACTTATCTTGGGTTGCTAAATGTGCATTGGTTGGAATTGCAGCCAATAGGAACAATTGCTGCCCAACCCAAATCCTACCTGTCACTTGGTGATGGAGTGGTAACCACCACTCCAACCCTATCACCCAAACCTATCTTCCCAACCTTCAATCCCAAACCTATCCAATCCAACCCAACATTCCAAATATGTTCCCGCAACTTCGCGCGCAAAGGGAAAACTAGGAACGTCCAGATTAGTCGCGATAGTTAGACTAGGAGGGACGGTTCGCATGGCGATATGTTACACTGTGTACAGCTTGGTCTTGTTCCTGTAGCCTCTCATTTGCTAGGGCCTTGATTGTGTACAGACCTTTATATATATATTACCCTTACTGGCCTTGTGGCCTCTCCCAGTGGCTGGACTAGTAGTGCCGCCCTGGTCTTGCTCTTGTCTTGATCTGTACTCGTTTGACTGGTCTTTAGACCCTTGCCTTAGAGGCTGGACTAGTAGTGCCACCCTGAGCTGTTTGTTCTCTCGTCAGGCACTGCCCCTTTACAGTCTAGGGGGTGTGTCAAACATATTGTAGTATGTTGCTGTGGACCATATAGGGTTGTGCCTTAGAGAGTACAACCCGCTAGATTATATTCCCTTGAACTCACCCATTCTAGTCATTCTAGCATTCGAACATATATATGCTAGATGCATAACGCAATTTGATATTGCATGTCAGTTTGGGTAAATTTCTACGGAAATTTTGTCCCCAAAGAGGTCGGTGTCAATCTCGATTAAAATGCATTGATGCTTTCGTGCGCTCTCTTCACTGCATAATCATTTTGTTGTTAAGGTTGTATGTCAAATTGCTCCATATTCATTTGTGATGGCTATTGCGAGACACTGATGCATCTTGCTGCTATTTTGTCGCCGTATTTATCGACGCGGATAGGACAGAAATGCAGAGGTGTGTTACATCGATCTTCACTCGAGTCCTTGTCGTAGTCTCCACCTTTCATGCTTGCCACTTCGCTTCCACCACAGCCTCCACGACCTCTACCTCTTCCTCCCCTTGCTCCTCTGCCCTCTTGGTATTGAGA